ATTCTTTGGAGAGAATTCATCTTAATAAATACTAATAAATAATAAATATTAACCATGTTGGCTAACCTATACATCTTTCAAACCATATTCTGAAAGAATCACTAATGATATACAGTTAAAATGGACATTTATCTTGTCTTACTAAAGAACATCTTGAAGTGGCCAGTTCCTCTCCTATTAGGTCATGTTACAGTACAAACAGGAATCGCTGTTAGAAGTATTATAGGCAACCAGAATATGTCTTTTTCAGAGAGGTAGGACATCTCTCAGACATGGCTTACTTTTCATAAAATCCTTTCTTCCAAAACTCTGGACTTTCATCTCTACTGATCATTATTCAGACTTGCTCCACAGCTGTTTTTGTACCTATCCTCAAATTCTATTAGCTTTGACAGAAATAAGACAGAAATAAGTGTTAAGTGTTGTTTTGCTTTCTTAATTACAGCTGCTGAAACTCACCAGTCCTAGCTAGCTTTAACTTAAACACGTTATACAGGTACAGACATGTCCCTGTGGCATGCATCTCTGCTTCTGTTGCTTAAGGTTATCCCAATTCACTGTGATATGTTCTCATTCACTTTTATGTGTTCCGACATGCAGTTTCTCAATTCTGGACAGAAACAGCATGAGAGAGTTTGTTTTATCTATATCCTAAATTTAGAATTGTCCATATTCACGGCATCTTTGTGGGAAATCATCCACCTGCTAGCAAAAGAGGTCATATACAAAGGAAACACAAGTGAGACACCATGTTCAGATCTATCACTGTGACCCAGATCTGGGGCTTCTCTATAATGTTCCATTTACCTTAGCTTTCAATTCTACATTTGCATAATCAGCAGCCACTCTACTTACTGCAAGCCCTTCTGCCATCAGATCAGATAAAGATCATGTGTCTTTGTCAAACATTTCAGAGTTCACTCAGGACATACAGGCACTATGCCCACCAGTCTAGATCATGCTTGTGCTGGATTCCAGTTGGATTGGTTCCAGTGCTGACTAGATGTTTCAGGTTTTAGCACATATCAGGAGAGTGCTTTAGCTGTTCAGATGAAACAAACTCTTTCACACCTTGAAAATTTCCAAAGTAAGCTACCAAAGATAGATTTTTTACTTTACTCATCACTTTAACTGCAGATACTATGATGTTGTGCATTACTTGTCTGGGTGGTAATTCTGTCCACCACAGCACAGAGGAATGGAGAGATCCCAGCTGTAGAAGGGACTGGGGAGATCCAACATTAGTATAGAACAAATGAAACAATTTCTGCAGCTAAACTGCCTACCTTCTTATTATAAACAACATACAGCTTAGAAATATAGCTATATGTATGTTTGTGAAGACAGGCACATAATATCTTCATCCTCTTTGAAGCTGCTATTTCACACATAACTCTTTCTGCTCTTTTAAGCATATAAAGTTTAAAGCTGTTCTTATCATTGCCTCTTTTCATGTCTGGCACCATGTAGGATTCATTAAAGCCACTGTCTCGTGACTTTCAAGACATACACTGTCATAATCACTGGAGTGGAATAGTTGCCTCCTTTCTCATCTGACATGTTTTACATTTGATTCCAGTCCCTAAACACACAGAGAGAGCAGAGTGTTGGCTAATCAGAGCTAAGTTTTGCTGTAGCAAATGGAATCGGGAGATTAGTTTCAAGTAAGTAGGAGGAATTTTAGAGAGACTGTTCATTTGAATAAAGCACAGATTTCTGCTAAATGTGAGAAAAGGAAGAAAGAGGACTTGTTATAATCAAGATGCTCAAAATAAGAAGCGAGAAATACATAGCCAAGAGAAAGGAAAGCACAATGAGATATTTAGATATCTATATATTCTAAACAGTGAGATGTGTAAGAAATGTGGCAAACTGGCTGTAGAGGAACAGTCAAAGAGACACGAGTCAGAAACAAGCATCTCACCTGACGTCCAGAGTTAATTTGTCACAACTTGTAAAAAGCTAAGTGGTTTTCTCACTGACTTTATCAGGCAGAAGGCTACTAATGTTTATTGGCGAGTAAAGCCTCAAATGTCAAAATACCGGATTTGTGGCTTTCTGAGGCAAGGAATGGCAGTTCTCTATAAACCCAATCTGTGAAATAGCAGTTACAATGAATACAATTGAGTTAGTTCTAGAAAATTAAGAAGAAGGTTTGTCTCCTGCTACTGCAAAACCAGAAGAAAAACTACAAAGTTATGCTGAATGACAGTACAAGCCCACTGTAAGAAAACATGACCATGCTTATACAGACACTTTCATTTGCACAAATTTTGATTCCGAAGAATTCTCTCAAGTAAATATCTGAAACTGTGGAAAAATGACTGCTGGTAACTGGAATGCATACTTCACTATTCGCATCTCTGAAGAGATGTTTTTGCAAAGACGTCTTTGGTCCCATGTAAGATATGTGGTAACTCTTGTGATTATCTCTCCATGATCTCTCTTTTTGTTTGGATGAAGATGCCGTCTCTCGCAGAATAGCTTCTGCAACCTAATGGAGAATTTGTTATAAATATATACTTTTAAGTTCAAGTCACAGCTAGTATAATCAAACAACCCTCAAAGCCATTTGCTTTTTCTGTTGTAATAAAAATTATGATATTAAACACAATAAATTAAATTCCACATCTTCTTGTGCTAGGGACTGAAACTCCCCAGTAGCAGACACAACAATCTTTGATATGGCATTCTAGCATCTATATATACAGCATCCTAATATTACTCTCACACAAAATCTTCAGTGGCTTGAGCAGTAATTATACATCACCAAATGTCCCAAAGCAGTAGAAATAATTCAGAAATCTGGCCTACAACAGAAGTCAATTAGCTTTTTCTTATCCTCGCTTTTATTGGATTTTTTATATTTTTTCAATCTGTACAAGTGACTCTAATATTTTTTTCTGACCTTCACAATCTGTAAAAAGATGAGTCGTATAAACAGGTAGGTTTGGGAAAATTAAAAATAAATTGAAATGTAACTTGAAATGATACTTGCAATGGAACCTAACAGTGTTATGTGAAAAATCTCATTAAGAAGTACATTAAAATCAAATTAAAAGATGGACCAAAACGTCTTTGCTCCATAAAGCAAAGGACACACTAATTGGCGGTTCTAACATCTTTTAAGGGTACATTACTAGAAATTAGATTTTCAAATTAGGGAAATACCTAGGAGTAAATAGCTTGATTTTATTTTCTCCTAGGTTCAACCACTGTGGAAGAGTAGGATTCATCTCACCAGCCTGCACCATCTAGAAGATAATTATTTGTTCTAGTTGCCTTGACACACATAAGATGGAATTGATCCCTCTTTAGAGGCACATATTTTAATCCCTTGAATACACAAGGAGATGAAACGACCCACTTAAACCAGAATTCTGTCTTTTGAATTCTAGTCTGATCCATTTAATTTTACCAAGACTCACTGTGTCCTGTGTAAGACGTGGGCGACAACATTCTTCTCCCTTTCTTTAACTCCCCTAAATTAAGTTACTTGGTTATATAGTAAGGTAACAAGTAACCCTACAAGTATGGGACACTGAATGAGAAATGCCAAGAGAATCTGCACACCTATGATTAAACAGTTTTGATTTCAGGAGATCACCAGAGACATTTACACCAGCCAGCGATATTTTCCACCCTGATTGTCCTTCCTCCTTCACCCCCATGTAACTAGCAATCAGGAGCACAACTCGTACCTTTGTAAGGCAGGTCACAGACAGTGGTTTTGTCCCAGAAAGCTTACAGAACAAAATAAGAACTGAGCTGAGATTTAATAAGAGGTGCCACTATATCTGTTGCAGAAACCAGCCTGCACCTGGCTGAAGAGCTGTTTTATTAAAAAGATGAATAGCATTATATACGTAAAGAGGAGAATTCATTTCAGGAGACTACAGTTGTCTGGTTTATGTACTGAATTTAAATTATTGATCTAGAGTCTCTCCCTAGCTAGTGGAGGAAGACATCTGCCCTTATGTTAGTTTCTAAGATGGGTTCACTGGAACACCTTGTAGAGGTGTCCACCTCATAGAGGTGTCCACCTCATGGACAAGTAATGCTAAGTGGAAGAGAACCACACAAAAACTATATTTCAACATGGCTTACTACAGAGTTGATTTCCTCCCCTTCAGGCTAAGCATGGCAGAAATGGAGGGACAGTGTTCATACATGCCAGCTCCAAAGAAAAACTACTCCTGATTTATTCAGACAGTATTAAACAGACAATATCATCCAGTACCAGGGTCTCTGATTTTCTGTCCATGAAATTCACAGCTTCTGGAGGTTTTTCTTCTTTTCGTCCCTGATGCTCTGAAACTCTGAGATCATCTCGAAGCTCCATGTTCTGTCTGGTCAGCATCTCAACCTGGTCTCTCAGCTTGCTATAGGCAGCATGCCAGCACGACTCATTTCTCTTGAATTCTTCCTGCAGTCCAGCAATCTGCTGTTTTAACATCTACCAGCAGACAAAAAGCGTGCCATGTCATTGCCAGGTCTGGACTAGGCATGCCCACCTTATACATCCAGAAGGAAGCAAGGAGTCTTTTGTTCTGCTTAAAGGTTGATAGTATAAAGGTCTTCAATATAAAGGTGTGTAATAGAGAAAGAACACATTTGAAATTACTTCTTCAAAAACCCAAAAAAACAAGCAAACAAAAATAACTACGGTGCAAGCTCCTATGTTTAAACCAAACCAATCATTACAAGGTGAGCAGAGGGGAATCTTTGTTGTGTGAAGGAAAATCAGGAAATGCAAACTCATCATGCAAACAAACAACATTAAATGTGAATGTTTTCCAAAACAAGGCAAAAATGTTAGCTCTTCAGATCACGTAGTGACAAGGGCACATGAATAGTTTAAAAGTCCTTACAGACAGCAGGGGATTGCAAAGACAATTTTCATCTGAGTTCAGGTAAATGAAAATAACGAAATTCGGTGCATTTTGTAGAGGACTATTCCATATACAAGTATCTCCATTATTTCTCTCTCCTCCTTTCTCCTTCCTTCACCTGTGCCAATGCCAACACTAAGTCCTCTTCCCTCAGAGCACTCATGTTGGGTACTGCAAATGGAATATTAGTGGAGTTAAACTGGAAATGTGCAGTTTGCTCTGTAGTCAACCGTCACATGCACCCCTTTAGTACTTTCCCTTTGCTTGTGTATCTGCCCACTTGTGTTCTAATCACCATCTTTCTTTGCTGTGAGCTTCTTGGTCAGCATTTGGCACATCCATCGGCCTCTTTCAAGAAGGAGACTTCTGAACTTGGAGAATCACACAGATAGTGACTCAGTGTTTTGTAATTTTTTAATGGAAAATCGAATTTTTGAACCACACTCATTATGTTACCAGGTGGAACAAAAGATTAAAACATTTCTACCAAACTTCATCTCTAGGGCTAAACCTAGTCAGGAAACACAATTATTCCCTGGCAGAAATTCTAACAATTTTTTTAAATCCCAGGTAGAAAGAAAGCTGATGTTTCAAAATATTTTTATTTAAAATACTAAAATAACCTCACTGAAACAGTTAATAATTTCCTGTTGCAAATGTTACCTCTAGAGAAATGTGGAACATGATCAGAGAAAACATTTGTTATATCTATGGCACAAAAATATGTATTTCAAAAAATGTGCAAATGACAAATAAAGAATGTATAGAAAGGTTTGAACAAAATACTATTTTGCCAGATTTATTTGTTCTGAAATTTTTCTGGTCAAGAAAATAACTGAAATTGTCAGTTTTGTGTTAAATACATCAGTTTGGTTCAGGCATTCTTTTGCAGCAGAACATTGTTCCAGACATTTCTGAGCCTTAACATAGCCTACTCCTTTATCCTATAAAAATACAGGTTTAGCTGTCCCCATCTCATTTATCACATGGCGCTCATTTATCATCTCTCATCTCACATGGCTCACCATTTTTTCCTTCTCTTTATCCATGATTCTTCTAGAAAATTACTTAAGCTTGTATTATGTGCAGCTGGTTTTGATAGAGAAAATAGCCATAGATATTCAGAGATTACTTTATCTCTAAGGAGGCTGAAACAGAGGAATCAAACAGAATCCCCTAAAGGAACTCAGAAGAAACCACAGTCAGTGATTCAGGGTTGTTATTAGGCAGGTTAGGTGTTAGATACACAGCTAGGTATCATCAAAATACCTCAAAGCCAAAGGCCAGGATAGTTCAAATAAAAAGATCAACCACCTCCGAGCTCAGGGATGAGAACAAAGAACGATGGCCAATAATTCTGTGCCACTGGCACAATATTTTTTTGTATGAAAAAGATGTAAAACCCACAGTGGCAGGAGTTGGAAATTTTTTCAAGAGCTAGCTCAGATCTGAGCAAATCAATACAAGAAGTATAAGGAACATAGGAACCTCCCAACCTTCCTCAGGAAATAGAAGGTACAACCTAGTATTTTTCTTACATAAAGAAAGTGGGGAGTACATTTTAAACACAAATCAAAGCAATGTACTATTAACATAAAAAAATCTTCACTGTATGCAGTGAAGCAGCATGAATAATCGTCTATCTGCAACAAATGGAGGGATTCAGGTACTACCATAAGCATGGGAGGATAATTAATTAAGCATATTTATTCTACAGCAGACATCTTACTTGTATTTCTTCTGATTTTGCATTTTTTTCAGTGATGCTAGCTTTTCCTTTGAACTTGCTAGGGGCATTTTCTTTCTGCAGTGGGTGAATTTGGTTGCTTTTGTATTCCAATGAGTGAATCAGGTCCTGGCTCTGGACGATCTTGAGCTGGTCCATTAGTGTTCTGTTCAGAAGGTAAACAAACAATATGAGTTTGGCACAAACATTATAACAAAGGGCTGTCTTTAGATGTGTCCTGTTTGGGCATGATTTTTAGTGCATGATTTTTAGCCTGCGCATGTCCCATATATGCTGGTACTGCTGGGAGTCACAAGTTATCAGCACTTGTCAAAATTGAGGTCCTTCATCACTGGAAACACTCATGTATGTATTCAGCTGCAAAACTGATTCTACTGAGCAGATGGAAACAATTCTTATTGAAATTTTCTGACAACATAATGATCATGAATTTAGAGGCTTTTAAGCACATTTTCTGTTCAGATAGCTAAATTAAGGTAGACCTGCAGAAGACACAGCTAGTTCCCTGGCATCGCACCTATGAAGCACTTTATCATGCAGGGATGGGGACTGAGCTATGTATCCAGCAGCCATTACATTGCCATTACTACAAATCAGAACAGCCATGGACCTGAATGAAAGGGCATAAAGTACTTGACTTTCCATACATAAGTATACCCCAAGAGTCAAATGTGGGAGCTCAGTGCCCAGAAGAGATTTTGCCTTTGAATTTAATGTCTTAAGGCATGAATGGTCTGGAACCGCACTTAAAAACTCAGCAAGATGTGAAGAGTATAAATCTTTACATATCCTCAAACAGAGTATATTTATAAGACCATGATACACCTGCTTAGTTAATTTTCAATACGATAATAATTTGTTAGCTTCCTGCTTCAGCTCACTTCATGACCTACAGCCACCATGTGGCCTTCGCTGTTACTCAAAATGCAACATGAGTTACAGGAGGCAGCCATGATCTCATGTTTTCCTCTCAGTAATGAAGTTTAGCCCTTCAGCAGCAATAGATGAAAGTTCTCAAAGGTACTAAGAGATAAATGAACTCCTCATATTCTAATTCATTACTTTTTAATTTTTTTTAATTTTTTTTTTGCTGGTGGGGTGGTTGTTTTCTACCCTAAATAAGCCTGTCTAACATCCTGGTTAAAGTTATGCTAAAAAAAGTCTCAGCATAGTCAACAGAAGTATTAATTCTCCTCATACAGTTAAAGTATCAAATATACCTGCCCTGTGTGATTATGTCCAGCCTACAACTGCTCCATATGCAGACCAGATGTCCTGAAATACAATGTATTAGAACAAAATCAACACAAGATCTATATATAACATCTTCCACTGAAGACTGAACAGTACTGTCTTAAGTTTCTTACACCCTGAAAGTAAAGTCCAGGTAGCTATTCCTTCCAGCATCTCAGATGATGTCAGCCTCTTCAGAATTGCACAAGAATTACGTCTATACAAACAAACTAATCAGAGCTGGAGCATGAACCCGAGTGCTGTATTGATAGCATGACCTCTGGTCCCAGCACTGGCCATCCAGCACTGCACTAGACCATGCTGGGCAAGGTTTGGAGGTTAGTCAGGCTAGGGATCAGATCTAGCAGACAGCTTGAACGCAGCCACTCTGGTCTGCAGGGTAAGGTGGGTTAGCTGTATGGAAATGTTCTGCTGTTTACCATAGTGACTAGTTCAGGTCAGCTGCCTTGGCTTTTCTCCCTTCCAGCTTCTTGTGCACCTGCTCACTGGCAGAGCATAGGAAACCGAAAAGTCTTTGATTTAGAGTAAGCACTACTTTGCAACAACTAAGACATTAGTGTGTTATCATCATTGTTCTCACACTAAATCTAAACCACAGCACTGTTACCAGCTACTAGGAAGAAAGTTAACTCTATCCCAGCTGAAACCAGGACAGACTCTTTGCCTCAGGGCTTGAAAAGAGATTCTGGCCTGAGGATATGTAATAACCAAGGATAGCAGGAGCACACACTTTACTTCTTTGCAGCCTCTGATAATTATTTCACACCCTAAATAGGAGCTAAGTGCACAATACAGATACAAAATACGTAAAAAAGGCTAAGCAGTTTGTGCTAACTCAGATTTTTGCATGCAACCCAGGCACACTTCTGCATGAGGCACATGGCAGCAGGCTGGCTATGAGACAAAAGTCTTTTTTCCAAGAAAAAGTCTTTTAGGGAAATGCAGGTGGGAGAAAAAGCCCAACATGCTGGCTACTGCTGACGGTCCAGAAAAAGTGCAGATTCAATACTACAAGGAAATTATGTATTAAAAAGCAGACAAGCTGCTCTTGTTGAAGGAACCATCACTGAATCCTTTGACTGATGCCAAGAGCCAGCAACAGCTACCTCATTGCTGCAAGGGTGAAGTCAGAGGTCCAGATTCCATAAGGTACCAGATAAACAGAACACACTACATCCCAATTGTTTTCACCCTCTTGCCTATAATTATATGTGCCTGCAACGGTCTGAAAACCTTTGAATAGATAGACCAGGCAGGTTCAGGCATATCACGCAGCTCTCAAGAGGATTTTCACTGCTTCCAGCAAGCACAAGTTGTTAAAATGGCACAAGTGAAGTGCTGTCAATGTGGTGTCCATCTTGTGTTCCTGATAGGGTTACTGATTTAAAAACACAAAGCAGATTCTTGGATTGCATAAATCAGCATAAAGCAAACACAGACAAGGAGGATAAGCTGCCTTTCACAAATAGTTCTAGTTCATAAATTGGAAAAACTGAGTGAAAAGATGTACACATTATACTAGGCAGGCATTTTTTGATAAACATCTGTGTGGAAATGCTGGGGGCTACCACAGCTAATGACATGAATAAATCAATGAAAGCTCTTTTAAAAACATGCACTATTATGATAAAATCAAAGCCATGTCACTACTGAAGCAGCACTTGGCAGCAGTCAGAGAGTGCAGTGCTAGAAGAGTGCAGCACTGCAGTAGTTCTGCACCAGTACGTCACTCCACAGCCAAAATTTACAACAGCAAGAGTGAAACCAGCACCTAATTTCATCAGTAGTTTTATGAAATGACAAATCCCACAAATATTCTCATCTGGAACACCTATCACAGTCAGCTGGAGATCATCTTCTAGTATGTTTGCAAGATCACGAAAAAGAAGATTCTTTCATGAAACCATTTAAGATATTGAAAGTATCTTACTCCAAGACAGCTATAGGAGAAAAAGATACAAACTGATAAATGTAATTCAGAAATACTTTTTGGCACTAATCCCATGGTCTTTGAAATCAAGAGGAATGGACAAGCAGACATGAAAAATAATTTCTTATTTTGCATTATATGTTAAAACAAAAAGCCAAATCAATAAATTACACTAGTTGGCACTAGTTAAGAACTAGGCTTGAAGGCAAAGAGGAAAGTAATATCTCATGTTAACAGTAGATGGTACCTAGTAATTTCCAACAGATTTAATCACATTAAAAATACATATTCGATTTGATTGTAAGCATGTTCATATTTTTATTAGAGACATTTGGATAACCTGTAATTAGTTACAGTTATGAGTCACTTCCATTCCCAACCCCACAGTTTCTAAGATTCTTGCAGGTATCTCGTGGTAAGGAATTGGTTGGGATTTTTTTATTATGAAAATGTAAAACAAACCCAAAACAAAACAAAACAAAACAATTTCAGCATTTAGTAGTTACGAGTTACAAAAGCAACTCTCCTGAATATTCAGGTTCTTCATTTATATGGAACCAAAGGCATCCTCAGTCTAGTATCAAGATAGATATTCCTGAATAACAATGCTATTGGCACTGATGTATGCTACACACATTTTGTTAACTTTTGAAATATGGGCTACCCTGATGTGAATGTAATATAAGAAGTTTATCCTTTACTCCATCAGAGGCCTGATCCCATAGAACAGATTATCCTGAGTTTTTACTGATTTGAATGTTCAGCAGCTTACAAAAAGTATTTATCATTACTCAGCTTGAAGACCCAAACTGCAGTGGTTTCAGAGTTGGGCCCCTTCAGTTAGTTGCTTTAATTTCAACCTAGACAACGAAATAAGTGTTTCAGTTCTGAGACAACATAGACACCCTCAAAAAGAAGTTAGTTAACAAGTAAGAATTTAGCAGCCTGATTTTAAGGATCCTAAAGGAAGTATTATTTGCCTCACTGCACACACAGATCAATTTCTGGTGTATACGGATTTACCTGTGCACATGCATTGGTTTCTCTTGTTCTTCCTTCACCTTAGTCATTGGAGGCGTTCCTCTGCAGTATGCGCCAGTTTCTAATCCTCTGGTAAGGGTGTTCTGAGTTTCTTATATAAACACATCAATGTTAGTACACAGAACTTCGTGAATATTTATGAATGCTCTCTATGTATTTAAAAACACAAACTGTGTAAGTGCAACAAGCTTTATCGCTTAACCTATCAAGAAGAATGCATCTATCTCTGCCTAATTATGCAGCTATTCCATTCCCAGCATAGTTCTTAGTAGTACAGTCCAAGCCCTACAAATCACTATAAGTGAAATGGATTTGGGGATATATTAGTGTTGGTAGATGAATTCCTTTTCAGGAATGTGAATGTCACATGATAATGCAACCTCATTTTGAATTAAACTTTTGAAAAGGCCTCAGGAACCCTTTTTAATAGGAACCTGACATGGAGTGGGGTGTGCCTAGCAAGCAATTGAGACCTGTCAGAAGTGATTATTTCTGTCAGGGTGATAACTGCAGGCAGGACATCTGATTTTGACTGATCCTACACAAAGAGACAGCCAATGGGTTTGGGATGAGGAGTTGATGTGGGGGAAGTCCTTCAGGGGAAACAAAGACAGAAGAAAAGTCAAGAACCAGTTTAATAAAAAGGACTAAACCTGCTCAAGAAAGATACACTTTCATTGCCAGAAGTAAGATCACTGGGCCAAAAGGTTAGAAAATTGCTTGACCAAAGAACTGGGTCCACATTAAGGACAAACTGAATGAAGTTGTTCATAGGAAATCATAATTTTCCACTGATGTGAAGGTCTATGTATCTTAGGAACAAAACATGCAAATTTAATAAATTGTTTTGACCACCTTTTTTAAGGTGCACCTCAAGTAACAGATTTGAAAACCAGCAAATGACAATGGAGAGGCAAGTACAACAAGGAGCTTGCAGATATACCTCTCCCCTCTTCACTTTTTTTCCCAGCTTGGGACTGAGAAGTATTGACAGAGCATATAGCTAGGCAGCACAAGCAGAATGAGGCATATATCCAAGAGAGACCTTCTTCCCCTATGAAAATAAATATAAATCAAAACTTGGGTAACACTCACCTGATCTGTCTCTAAACAGTTTTTTCTGTGGTTCCTCCACTGCAGGGGTTTCCTTAATCTTGAAAGCAGAAATCTCATCAGCCACTGTTGAGGATGGCAAATATAGGCTTTTAACATCCCTGGCCCTATACTTATCCTTTGATTCAGGCTCATGCTCTCTCCTTTTCAGTTTTGTGGGATAATACAGAGGCTGCTGAAGAGAAGAGCAAGTCTTGCTCTCTTTCAGCCTGGCAGCCCTAGTACTGGAATCACTGTTGCATGTGCTGCAGGAGAGACCTTGTCTTGAGATCACTTGAATGTCTTGTTTCCTTGGGGGTGATCTGCTGTACTTTTTAACAGACTTTATTTCAGTTCCACTGGGCTCATCACTAGCATAATCATCATCAGAGAGATCCAAATGTCCATCAGTATGATTTACTCCCTGAGGCCCATGCTGGGAGCGATACTGAGCATGGTGAGATTTGGAGTCATCATCGCTGTTCGAGGATAAGCAGCTTGATTCACAGGATGAAGATGCAACATGCCACATTGAGGCAGCTGTGCCCTTCCTTTGCCACTCCTGCTGCAAGGCTAAGGATGAGCTTCCCGTCTCCACAGCCTCAGGTGAGCTACATGTAATTTTTACTATCTTATCATTGACCATCTTAAAGCCAGTATGGAATTGTCTTTTTCTTTCGGAGCTCTGGTTCCCTGAAACAAGTTCTCGTGTGCATAACTTAACCCAGTTCTCACCCTGTGTTAATGCAGGGTCTGCACTCCACTCTGCCCCCTTGTTGTGATCTGGTTTTAAATCCTGAAGTAGAGAGTGCTTTTGCAGGACTTCCACGGGGTTTTTTGATCCCTCTGTGCAATGACCTTTCAGAGGCCAATCCACCCTACTCAGGTGCTTTTGCAGGGTACCTTGCACAGGTCTTCCATCAGTTCTGCCTGCTTGCCCAAGAGAATCCACATGATGATTTTCCCTTTCCCCACCTATTTGTAGGTTCATTTCTATTAATGTTTCTGGACTTGGCTGCAGGATTTCAGGCCTTTTTCTCTGTAGTGAGCCAATGGGATTTTTCTTTGTGTCTTCATCTTTCATGATCACTTGTTTTTCTTCTAAATTTTGGTCAACTACTCTTGCTTCACAGTCAGTCTGAGAATTTGTCTTCCACTCTGCTAAAGCATGGTCTGCTTTTTTTTCATGTGTACCAATCTTCATGGAGCCACTAACCTGAAGGTCAAACTGAGAGCATTCCCCTGGCTGCAGTATGCCTGCATCCACTTGGCCAGGCTGGGAGAAATGGCCCCAGCAGTCCAAACCAGCTCTTCTGGAATGCTTGTTGTTTTCTTTTGAAGGTTTCTGTTTATTTCTTTTGAGCCTTGTCATACCTTCTTTTTGTTTCAGAAAAGCTTTCCAAGCTGTTACTTTTGCCTTGCTCTGAAAAACACCAAAAATCCTGACAATCACAGTTTGAGAATCATTCTTCAGAAAGTAAGAAAGATATAAAATCATAGAACTATAGAATGGTTTGGGTTAGAAAGGTCCTTAAGATCATTTAGTTCTAACCCTCTGCCATGGGCAGAGACATCTTCCAGTAGACCAGGTTGCCCAAGACTCTGTCCAACCTGGCCTTGAACCTTATTTATGATAACTGAAAAAGCCAAGACACCAGAATTCTTAAAGGCATTGGGTGTGGTTAATGAGTATGCAAGTAACAGCCCTGTGTCTACAGGGAAGGCACAAGAACTTTAAGGAGCAGTTGCTATGTGTCACCTCCATTAATTCGTTAATAGAATCAAATAGCTAAGATGGTGCTGTTTATACACTAGAAGACGATAAAAGGTCTCTTTCTTTGATTTTAAAGGAGTTTGAGTGCTTTTTACAATGTGATGAAGAAATATATAAATGCCTCAGTTAGAGATTTTATTTCACCAGGGAGACATAAAGAAAATTCCTGAGTGCTGAGTTGTTTGTCTTCCAAGTCAACAAGACTAACAAAATGCTGAGTCTGATGCCTCTAGACATAAAATCATCTCAAACTGTACATAAGGCAAAAACCAGAACAGTATTATTGTACCTGGCCCTTTTATAAAAACTGTATTTGGAAATACCCCCATTCTTGCACTAGTGGCACATGACAGATCGCATGGACCATTTATTATGGAATAAACTGACAGAATCAACTTGAAGTCTAATTTAGCTGAGTATGTTAAGACTTGGGCACAAACTATGACCCAGAAAGTACTCGGAAAGAGAGAAAATCAGTGGGAAACAGTGGGGAATATGTTTGTGACTGGGGAAAATCTTCCAATATTGCATGAAAGAACACTGGGAAAATGTACTGCCATGCAATGAGCCAAAACAGCCCACACAATAACGAACATCATGAGAACCTGTCAAGAACAAAGTGAATGCACCAATGGCACAGTACCTGCTGCTCCTTCCCTGTCAAGAACAAAGTGAATGCACCAATGTCACAGTACCTGCTGCTCCTTCTGCTGTTTCTCTAGGAGATGATTGTCTATTTCAAGTTGTTCTTCAACAAATTCTTCAGATGTATTCTGTCTAATACCAATTGCCGGTGTGACTGGCCTAGGCAAGGAACAAGAAGGTACTTATTTGTAAGGTTCTCCAACTAGTTTTCTTTTGATAATTTTCACAGAGCTGATGTTGAGTTTAGAACTGAAATCTTTGTTAAATGTGAAGCATGTTAACAAAAAGTCCATTATTATGTGACACCTAAGTCTCACTTTAAAAATTCCTGTCTAGTCTAAATATTAACTATGCTTTTAGCAAGTAACATTTTTTGGTCGGTATCAGTCTTTCCTCAAAATTAGAAAGTACTCAAAAGGAAAAATATTTCAGACATTTTCTCCAGACTAGAACTTGTTACAGTCACAAAGAACTCACCGTCTCCCTGAAAGAGTGGTTTGGATTAGATGGTGAAGAGTGATAGAAGAGAAAAATAATGTCTATAATGTTGTGGAGGGACAAATTGAACTCTGACTCATAATGAATACAGCATACATGAACAGATCTTATTTAAATGGAAATATGCTTAGTCACTTGCTAATAATTTCTACTGAACGTTAAAAAATCCTCGGTTTAATAAAGGTATTGGTTATGTAGCATATTACTGTACTTCTATACCCCACCTCCACCTAACACTACTGTACTACTGATAATCTTTTGTTTGTCAGTCTGGCTCTGTCTGTTAGCATCAGTATGGGTTAATAGGATTAGATTTGTAGAGCACAACTGTTGTTGATCAGGACTCAGCATTAGGCAATATGCATTTCAGGGAAATTTATTTCAAACCAACTATACCCTGATCCCATAGTGAAAGTGTCACAAAGACACTTGATGTGACCCAAAGAACAACAAGTGGTAGTAACTGGGATACAGACTTCAGAAGCTCACTGCTGATCCAAAAAGGCATACATGGACAGGCTCACTTGCCCAGAGGTACTTATGATCCTGCTGCCTCTTCTCAGCTTTCTGTCTGGAGGTTCCTGTCTTCTTTCTCTGCCCCGCATGGTTAATGCACTAAAACACACTCATGAAAATTACTCTCGGTCTGTACTTGCCTAGAAGGCTGCTGCTTTTCTTTTATACTTGATGGAAGGCTTGGTGTGCCAAAAACCTGCTGCTTCTGTCTTCATCAGCTGAGGAAAGGTAACAGCTCTACAAGCATTTCTTCCATCACTAATGCCAACCTACCCATTCTTGCCTAGCCATGAGTACCTCAGTGCGCTGGTACAACTCCTTCTGCAATGCAGTGATGAACCAGATCAGAGAACTGATCCAAGTTAAAAGTTACATCTCTTCTCTCTCCAGATAATTTTAACAAGGATTACTTTGGTGACCTGTTCAATATATAGGCACAAAAAAATCTGTCTTGGCACAGATGAAGAGGTAGAGAAAGGACAAGAATGAATGAGCTACTCAGACTGATGCTGCAATTGCAAACTGATGGTCACTGAAGAAGAAATGACAGCATAACAAAAGATGTTATCTCTCCCTGCCAAATTTTGCCGCACTCCTATTCTTTGGAGGTCACAGTTGCAAAACCAGTTCATTTAAATTGGCTAAATCAGCATCCCATTATATAGAAGCAAATCAGCTGTGAGTCCCTAGATCTGTCCAATCTCTGCCCATGCATACCTGCCACTCTCAAGCAAAAAGCCTTTGTGTTGCAAATGTAACACATTAAGTATGTGAACAGTCAAGAAAGACATACTTCTGTAGCTTGACTGACTGATTAAGATAACTTCTCACCTGTCTTCTACGTTTCCAGTCTTCATCTTTGCCTCTGTATCAAAGGGAGATGAAGGAATCTCCTCCTTTACTTGTTCTCTTTGTTCTTTGACAGCAGAAAAAGTTTCAGGGAAACTCTTTTCTTTCAATTGACTGTTCTCTAAGCAAGAGGAAAAAGGTCAATAAAAACGAAGCTTTTATAGAATGAATAAATGAAAATAAACATCATAAAATAAATTAGAAATGTTTTATTTTCAAGAACACATGCAAGATTTTGATTTTTAAAAACACTTTATAGAATACAATTGAGTTAAGTAGGTAGAAGGATGCAACCCATGAATAAAAGAGGCTCCTGATCCTCAAGTTCCTAGTTTCTTAGTTGCTGGAAATAAGAAAAGGGTAAATATCATGATCTGTACTCCTTGCCTCTCTCAATTTGTTATGCTTGGTTAATGTGTTTACTGCAGAACATTGCAGTGAAGACACTTTGCTAGATAGTACTGAACTACTCATGAGTCTGTGATTGTGACCTGTAAGCCAGTTCATTATCAATCTATTCTATTTTTAATTTCTATTCTATTTAACAAAAGTGAACCTTGTCACCTGCCTTGCACCAAAACATGGCTGAGGAGGCAGAGGTGACATAGCAGGCTGGCCGCAGCAAGGCACACAGAACCCATATGTCCCTCCTCACAGTCTCGCATGAGGGGCCATGCTGTCTCCAGAATGTAATAGAAGTCCCCCAGCACTGTAATTTTTAACTAGTGCTTCCCAGTACAAGGCAAGAACAGTGTCCAAGCAGCTGTGTAACTCACCTTTGTTTTCTTCTCTGTTCTCTTCTTGAGCATCTTGTCTGGCAAGTTTTTTTGTGGGGCTCTCAGTATGCTGAAGCAGTGGCTCAGTGCTTATCCCTTTAAATAAGAATGTGAAGTGATATACAGGTTGTTGGTACACTCATGTTTATGTCTTCAGCAGTAAAACCCCACACCTATCACAACAGTTAGGAAGGTCTCAGCTCAGCCCAGTCCACAAGCACACATTTAGCTGAAGCATATTTCAAAGGCAACTGCACTGACGAGCTTCCAACTAGGAGTTAACCTGATGTACGAAGGTGTCCGCACCTTCCAGCGTTAGTTTAGCATACATAAAGAAGATCTAAGCTAGTGCTGCTGTCAAAAAAAGCAGTCATACCTCCCTCTGTCCTCATGTGTTCTTGCTTTTAGGTTCCTGCTGTCCTCATCCTCTCCCCTCCTACTACTTTTGTGCTGGCAGAAGTATTCCTGAAGCTCTCTGATAAACTTCACTAAACAACTGACCCAGGTTCAGGTTAACCCAGCAAGAAATAATAGTGCCAGGCACAAGAAAGAGACAAGGCTCTTTCAGTGAGAGTATCAGTCCTGAGCTAGCTTGAAGAATATGAAATTAAGGTTTCAATTGTACTGCAGCCTGTCTCACAGCATCACAGTCAAGTCTTGTTATAAAAATTCAAAGAAATCAAGGATGATGGTCTGATTTACATCCTCTTCTCTTTTAAGCGGCTTCAGTCCCACTTCTTTTTGTTCCTCTTCCCCCCATTTTGAAATAAACTTTTAATTTGTTGCAAATCACTCTTTCTTCTTTCTCACCCTTTGGTATCTTCCCACAGAAGACAGGGCTGGCAAAGTGTAACAAAGAGAAGACACCAAGTAGCAGCTGACATTGTTTTTCCTCCAAACAGTGCAACTCCATATCCATGTGAGAAACACCAAGACTGATGACAAAAAGCATCAATCTTGGTGTTTCTTAGTTACAGAAACACGTTTTCTCACCATAGGAAACTATATCCTCTTCCTACTTCTTATTCGTCTCTCCCTAAATATAATGTACTCCCTACTTTGTGTAACTTATTTTTTCCAATTTAATGACTGTCTGCTTTGTTTATATACAAGGTCCAGTTTCTCTGTCAGTGTGAGAGGCAGAATGACTATGATTCAAAAAGTACAAAAAAAAATCAAGTCTAAAATACTTTAAAAGCTTTTATAATAAGCCACCATCAAAACAAAGCACCTTCCCCTGACCTGCAATAAAATCAGTAACAATCACTAGCGAGCACAAAAGTTCACAGGAGTCTTAACTTGAGATTTCCAGTGCTTTTTACCCACCTGAATCTGAGAGCTGCGCATGCTCTCCTGAGATTTCTGAACTGCTCTCATTTGGCATGAACAGTGGGGATCTGCTTTGCTGGGCAGAGCACATTGCCAAGGGAGAGGTCTGTAAGTGCTGCAGGCTCTCAACTTGGGAAGAATTTTTTGATGGGAACTGGACAGGAATGGAAGTAGCTGGAAAGCATGGAAAGGGTGGCATCGTGGCTACTAGGTGAGAAATAGAAAAGCCTAAAAATAATTACCAGAAAAGAAAACTTAGAGAAGATTAAGACAAATACCTTGTACCAACCTAGAAATCTCTTGTTGAACTGGTGTTGCACAGAAAAATTGTTGTTTTCTATTTACCCAGTGGTTTGATGTTCAGAGTGAAATAACCAAATTCTGCGTTCGTTATTTTATTTGAATTGTAAAACATGCTTGCTGCAGCCATCAGACATAACCAAAATTATTATTTCCTACAGGGGTGCTGAACTAAAGAGAGTGTATAAAATCTGAGTATGTAAAACAAAAATTTCCCCTAGAATTCCTTAAGTCCTTTAGCAAGTAAAAATTAAGTATTGCAAAGTATCTCAGAGGTACTCCTCAATGCAAAAGAGGGGAAGGTTTTCCTAGTCACGTATTTTAGTAGAAGACTTCCAAGTGGAAAAGATAAGCAGTTCTGCTCAGGGACCAGAGGCCAGGCTCACAACTTCCAGGAAAGAAACCCCTCTATAAGGATACAAAATCAGGCTCTCTTCTTAGTTTCTTTCTCCATGCCATGATTCCTCTTTGTCCTGTGACCTGACTTAAACAAGAACAGTAGAGAGTGCCTTCAGGTGAAATTGCCTCACCCCCCAGTTAAGGCATGTTTTGAAAGAAGGCAGCTCTGTGGGTTCAAATGTTGTCTGAAACTATCTTGAAAAACCACCAAAACCCAACTTGCTACTTCTGGACAGATGCTCTAACCACACAGCTAGCAGGCAGGCAGAGCCACTTCCGTCTGTGTTACCATGAGGAGTGAAAAACTGATGCCAAATCAAGCACAGATGCAGGCAGGGGATGCCTTAGGCTGCTTAGGCTCCTACTACATGGGTTAGGTGAAGCTGCCTCCCCAGAAGGTTATCTGAGGAGCACAGCAATCCAAGGGTGACCTTATCTTCCTATGCCCTTATGATGCTTCCTGTTACGTAGAAGCAACCCTGCCAAAGCCAAGCCAGTGCTGCCACAAGTCTACATGATTTCCCTAAATACTCCTTTCACCATGGGGTCACATGCTGGGAAGAATGTGCTGCTACTGTGGACAGGGTGGGAAGGAGGCAGGGGGCTCCTCTTTTTCTGCTTGCTGAGCAGACTGTTTTTTCTAGCAATGCTATTGGTATGTTATCAGTAAAATGAAGCTGTTGAAGGAGTTGCATTATGGTGTGAGGAACAGACAGCTGTACCATTAAATATATGACTCTATAACAGAAACATGGTGCATTGACTTCCTTTCACTTCTTTTTTCTGTTAAAAGCTGTAACTTTCATATATAGGTACAAGAAAAAAAAGGCTACTCCATCTTTTCTGTAATACTCACCTTAATACTGTAATTTTCTGCAGTACCATTCAAATCTATATTCAACAGAAGCCTGCTCAGGGAACTCTTATTAAACATAAATGACTCCTCTTAATGGTTTTGAAATATTCATATACAAAGGTGGAAGTAAGTGTTTTCTGGGGTTTACAGCTTGTGTGTAATGTGTGTAAAGAAATGTATGTTTTAGCCCATCTGCCAGAAGAAGAGCCCCCAGCCACTGAAAACAACTATAAAACCTTCTCTTTCTTTAAGGAACTGTGCATTTTACTGCTGGAGTGCAAGCTTCAGCAAGTGAGGGTGCTGCAGCATCAAGAGGGATTTCCCAGGTACCTGGATTGTAAAGTGCAATGATTTTCTGCTGTTCAGCCACCAGCCTTTGCAGCTGCTCCATCTGCTGCCTCATCACCTGGTCCTGCTGCTCTGAAGTCTGAAAATGTCATGAAGATATAGTATCAAAATACACTTCTGGATGGTTTTTAAATATAAAGAATCACCATATCTGGACTTTAGGGGCAGGTGCTTCTCAAAGTGTATTAGTTTTAATAATGAATGTTGACATTTGTATTTAAGTGTCCACACAGACAGACACTTCTCTCCCTTTTGTGCTTTCTTTCTTGTGGAAGGAAATCCCAGCACAGAAAACAGAAGAAAATGGTGGCTGATGTGAGGCTAAGTAGCAAAACCTGGCAAGGCACATTCTGCCTGCATGGTGTCAGTGTACCCTTTGAGTTGTAAAATGGCAAAAGATTTTTGCAGACTAACCTGTTCTGTGTTTTTGCAGGTGGAAGCACAATGGTTCACCCCAGGCTCTGAGGCAGGGACCAGAGGAGGAGTCAACATTTCCAAGGTGTCACTTGCATCATGAATTCCAGCTTGAGTTACACTGGAAGCCAACTTTTGAGGAAAAAAATCAGAGCTGGCCAGATAATGGAATTCCCTTGCATGCTGGAAAGCTTGGTTGTGGCCCAAGTCATCTGTGGAGACATAACAGTTGCCCACCATACCACTGGCTTCTGAACTGTATAAAAGTGGACACTGCTTGCTGGAGGACTCACTCGTATTCTCAACCCAACCTGGGGTAAAAGAAGGCATGACCTTCTCAGTTATTATATTGGAAGGTGGTACCATGCTTGCCAGATCACTAGCAGTCTGCTGTGACATATGTTTTTCCTCCTTAAAAGCATCTGCTTCCATGTCCTACTTTCTGAAATCCATGTTAGGGATGTGCAGTAAAAACCATCATGAAAAAATGTGTCATACTGACATAGTAAATCCTGTGATTTGTCTTCTTTCTTTTCTTTTTTTTTTTTTTTTA